CTCTTCCTCTCCTTCTGGGTCTGAGTATCTGCCAGTCCCTAACTGCAAAGACAAAACTCAACGAAAAGGTGTACTTTGCTTGAGGGCTGCTTCTTTGGACAGGTGTGTGTCATAGTAAAGTAAAAGTGTCTTCCCTGGCTGAACCCCTTCTTACAGCAAACCATTTAAGCTGCTAATGTTCCTCTGGGGCAGGGCAGATTATGCATCAAAGGTGCATGAATACACCCCTGCAATCCCCTCTGAAAACAGGCTTAGAAAGCAGCGTATTCACTGGGAGGAAGGCGATGCCTGGATGGCAGCAAGCAAAATCTTTTTTTCCTTTGCCCTATGAAATCCACTTCTAGTCAAGCATAAAGAAAACAGATGAAAAGAAAAAAAAAACTCCTGCCCACAGCCTCCATTGTGCCATCTACAAAGTGAGTGGGTTTTCGTTTCCATTAACGTAGGCCCATCCTCTGGCCCTCTGCCAGCCTCCTGCTGAGGCCTCTCTCAGAGGAGGGGCAGCAACCACAAGTGTGACAGGTGGTAGGGTTTTTGGCAAGGAAAGGATTCTTTTCCTGGTGTCTTTTAATCTCTCCTGAAGGGTGATTTCAATAGTCTTTGGTCTGTAGGAGATCATAAGCTCCCTAAAACCCTTCCGCGAGAGCAGTTTCAGGCAGAGGACGTTTTGGTGTCACAAAGCCAGCAGCTCCTCTTGAGGAACAAGGATAGAGATTAAAGCAGCTTGGGCAGTGCCATTAAGTTTGCCAGGCAGACTGGAATCTGCAGTGTATTGCCAATGTCAGTGTTGATTTGTGAATTCTTCAAGTGCCATTTATCAACTCTCCCAAGTAAATCTTGTGCCCCATAGTATTCACTGTGCACTCTGCAACTAGAGAACTAAGTTAAGCTTTAGTTGTTTATTCTTTTAATTGAGCCCACAAAAAGAAGCAGACTGGGACACTTCCGTGGATCTCCTGACACTGTTTTGCAGTGCCAGACTTTCCTGCTCATTTACAGGAGGAGTAGACCAGAACCCAAATAAATGGGGGAATCAGTTCTGGTCTAAACTTACTCTAGTTTTCAGGAGCTCATCGCTACTGTTTTGATGACTGCTGCCAGCCTGCCTCTGTGGGACAAGGTAAGAGCAAGGTAACAGAGCCAGCAAACATATTTGCGTCCCCACATGGAATACAAATCCCCTTCCTAAAGGTATTGAGTGTAGCACCCAAGTCTCCTGAAAAACCTTAGAAAGAGCATTCCTCATTGTACTGTTGGTAAAGATTATCAAATAGGTTTTTTGCCCTGGTGTGCAGTGGTACTCTTCAGGCTCTGGTAAGCAATCTCTGTGCTGTTGTTTGTCACGACCCCTATACAACATGGAGTTTGGAAGGAGGGCTTTCCTAAGACCCCCATCTTCCTTTCTGGCTCTGCTAAGGTCGCAGTGTTTTCAGAGAACAGCAAGGATTATCAATCAGCTGTTCCAGTCCTGAACTATATCATGCCCTTCATCTGGAATAGGGTTTCTAAAGTGAAAAGGAGTGTGTTGATCTTAGACTGAGAGGGTACCCAAGTACTGGCCCAGCCTTTCATGCTCACACCCAGACAGCAAGCACTGCTAGAGCACAGTTCATCCACACTTAACTCCTGTAGGCAATGTGCAAAAGTCAGGCCTTTCCCGAGTTGCAAGGAAAGCAAAGGCCTTAAATCCGTGGAGTATTTTGATCCTCAAGATCAGTATGCCACAAGAAAGGCAGGGGGCACAAAAACATGAATAACCCTGGGTGGTATAACACATGTTTCAGGCTGTGGCACTAACACCACATCTATTACATCTGGTACTGGTGATTATACTGGGCAGTGAACAGAGGCCCAAAGTTGACAGACTTTGGCCTGTTTGGTCAGATCTTCCTGACAGTCAGTACTCTAATTTTGTACAGTGAATGAAAACTGCCAATCCTCAGGGCTGAAGGAAGTGGGGAGGGGCTCCTGAAGTTGCCTCCAGTTTAGTTTGAGCTCAGCTATAGCATATATGAAAGACACAGCAAATGGATCATCATTCTTTATCTGTCTATGATCCTCAACATTGTATCCATTTCTCTAAGAGGTATAAGGGAAAGTGTTCTCTGTCTTGCAGGTCAGATTTTGGATGCTGCTATGCCTTGAACACTTTTCTTGAAGAATTAATAGCCTAACCCTGCTCATACTTTCATTGTTTGTTTTTCTTTTCCCTAGGGGCTCTGCCAGATAAAGGAGATTTGTTTCTGGACCCTGCCATGGATCAGGAAATTGAGAAATTGTAAGTGGAATTGCCTAAACTAGGCAGTAAAGCAACAGATTAAAGGTAGCATGCTAAAGAAGAGTGGAATAAAGTACTGTCCTATTCCTCTGCTCTACTACAAAACAATAGAGGAGCTAAAAGAGCAACCTGAACAGGAAGAGTTTCTTACTTTGTGGTGCCTCAGTGCAGTTAACAAAATCCTTACAAAAATCTTCAGCAGAGGGGAAGAGTGTGACTCAAAGAGGGATCTAGAGGAAGCAGCAGTCTTTAATGAAATTTTGTTTGGATGGTGAAAATTAGGAGTATTGGAAGGAACAAGATCAGCCCAGAAGATATGTTTAAATAGGAGAAGATTCACACAGTGAGTCTGGGAGGTACCAGTGGAAGGTGTTCCCCCTCTGTGCCGTGAACATCTTTTCTATCCCTGTGCTAGTTTTAAGCCTTTCTCCCAGGTTCACTCCAAGAGTGCTGCAGTAGAAGTTTTTGCAACACGCTGCCTAGCACATTTCTTTTCTCTTTCAGGGTAGCTCAGGTTTCAGGGCTTTCTGTCTCTGGTCCTGCCAGCTCCAGTGCAGACACAGCAAATATGCCTGTTCGTAACTCACCCAGGATTAACTCACCTTGGAAACCTCTACACCATCGTCGAAAAATGGATGCTGAGAGTGAAGGCTCCAATGAAGAGACAGACTCCTCTGAAAACTGAAAGTTGTGACGGTGGGGACCATTCCCATCTTGGGTTCTCCAGAACCCACTGGAGGAACAGCACCTCCTCCCAGAGCAGCTTCTCTAACAGTGGGTTCTGTCTACATCAGCAGTGTGTGTGCTAATCCCCAGTGCCAGGTTCACCCATCTTTTTCCAGGAACAACTTGCCTTTCTCTTAGCTCCAAATCCGTGCAGGAATAGCGCCGCTGTAGAAGCCATTTACAGCTACAGAGTTATGCTTCCCTCTGCTGGCAGGCAAGACAAGCCGGCAGCCGCCAGCTCTGCCACCACTTGGAACCAGCCGGGTATGCTCCCACCTGGGCGCTCCCTCCCAGTTCTGCAGTTCAGCAGCTGCTGAAGCAGTGAGAGCACTTGTACAGGCCGCTTGCCAGTGATTCATTGTGTAGCTCTGCTCAGATTTGGCCCAGATAACAGAGGGGTTAAATCACCAGCAGCAGCTCTGCACTCCTGTTCCATTATTATTCCCAGTAAAGCTGCATCTGTATATGATCAAAGGTAAGGAAATTCCTGAAGTTCCTAAAAAAGGGAAGCTTATATATCGCCATGTAACTTGTCTCTGCTTTGTGCTTTCTCCTCCATGTGTCCAAGACTTGCCAAAGCAAATACAGCAAATAAGCTAGATCGCAGTAAGTACTGCATGGTGCTGTCTGGCTCCGCTGCTGTACTAAGTGCCCTTCTGTGAGGTCTCCCTGTCCCTCCAACAGCATATTATGGTCATTTGGAAAAGTGAATTTCAGAGGATTTGGAAAAGAGGGATAAGGTTGTTAAATTCCTTGGCCACAGGTGGTATGGCTTGCAAGTATATAGAGCACCTACTGGGGCTAGGTGGGCAGAAGCACTAAGGGAAAAGGAAGCAGTCATCAAATAAGATCAAGTTGGGGTTTTTTGTAAATATTGGAATTGTTGCAGCAGCAATGCAGCCCTTAAAACTACAAAAATACAGTGTCACATTGCATTAATGGTAACCAACTCAGCAGTTTAAACCTCCGCAGACTTGAACGCTTTGTCTAGCCCAGCTCCTGCACCCCAGCTTGCACAGACTAGTTATTTTGGGGGCAACTTCAATTTCTCATGCTTCTTTGGCAGCCTCCTTGCTCTTCTTGGTCATAAAGTGCTACATCACGGGCCACCAGGAACTGGTACCCAAAGCTTGTAGGAGGGTGCCATCAGGGATATTTATTTATTATAAGTTAAATAATTTATTGTCTGTACATTCTCTCCCAGCTTGGTGAGTGGCTGTGACAGCCTGGCAATAAAGCACGCTGTGTCAGGCCTCTGTTGCCTCTGGGTTCTCCGGTCTTCTGGGCTGCCCCGGCCCCTCCTCGGGGGGAGTGGAATCTGGCGGGCAAGACCATTGGAGGGCCCCGGCCATCTTCCAGGGCCCCAGGAACCCCTCCCCTCGGCCGGGGAAGGTGCCGGCCCCACCCCGAATGCCGGGATCACCACCGCGCCTTGCAGCGCTAGGGCAGCCGCACCACTGCTCCCTGCCGCTCCAGCCTGCTGTGGGTACTGTGACATTGACACAACTGCGGCAGAGCAGAGACAGGGAACAGGAAGACCCGACCCTTACCCCCCTCATGCCCCACCGAAGTGAAACATCAGCACGGAGCAGCCGAGTAGCTGCCGCAGCCCCTCAACTGGACAGGAGAGGTGAAACCCATGCAAGTCTCTTCCCAGTCCCAGACAGAAGGCTCCATAACAACCCCAACCTCTCTTTTGGTAACAGTGTGTAACTAGCCCTTTCCCACCCTTCTTCTTGCTACCTAGTCATCAACACCACAGTTCAAGGAAGAGAAGTGCACTCGTGTTCAAACCAGACTTAGTCCTGTTCAGCTTAAAGTTCTCACTGCTGCACCTCATGGTTGAGTTAGAAGCTCAGTACTTTGATCTGATCCAAAGCTGGGCAACAAAATAAACCAGGGATCCAGTGAATTTCTTTAGTACTTTACCTGGGGCTTTTTTGCTGATGATGTAGTTAGAAGCTAAAAAAATAATCTTTGATTTGATTTTTTTTTCCTCCTGCATTCATATTGTTGGTTTAGAAGACAGTAAAAAGGACTAGATCATGGTAAAAGGCAAACCCTGCAAATACAGAGGACTCCACAGCACCATGGATTGGGAACAGTGATCAGAACAAAAAACAGTCATGTCACATGATGTTCAGAAAAATAGCATTCCCCTTTTCTCTGTCACTTGGTGAGCTAAGGTATGGGCCAAAGAAGGAGAGGAGCACTGATGAGGGCAGCCCAGTAGTTCCTGTCATATCTTTTACAGCAATGAGGTTAACCCTGTAAGAAGGCCTATCTCCACTGGCTAGTAGATAGCAGTGGGTATGAGGGCACATTGAATTTTAATAGAGTGGAATCCAGAGATATTCAGAAAACATCCTGGGCACAGCCATGTCCTGACTCTCTCTGCTTACCTTCTCCCCTCCCCACCCAACCCAGACAAATAAGACAATCCTGTGGAGTTTACTCCAGGCAAAGTTGGCGTCAGTGCCTCTTGCTGGCTTCCCCTTGCAGTCCCTGGGTCATCAATATGAACCATAACGATCCTAAGGAGGAAACAGACAGAGACACCTTGCTACAACACCTTTGTGCAAAATCCAGAGACAGATAACAAGACATTGGGGGGTTTGGTATTTTAATGCAGTGTGAGGTTCTCTAGACAGGATGCTGTACAAAGGCAGAAGGTAAAATGACCTTGACTTCCAAAATTCTGCCTGGAATTTGTGGGAGAAGGTGGATCTGACATGACAAGGTGTCCTGTGCAGCAGGAGGGTAAGGCTGGCCAAGTAGAGTTCACTGGCCCCCTGCAATTGCTCAGCTAGTGTACTGCAGTCAACAGCTACAAACAACAGGTATCTACCTGGAACTTCCCACATAATTTGAGAAAATAGTGATAATTCCTATGGAAGCCAGGTAATGGTGAGAAGTCCCTGAATGTGACAACACCCTTTCTCAAGCTGCCATAATGCAAACTCACCTGAAGGGAGTTCATCACCCCATTCGCCAAGACAGCCATCTTGCCAGCAACTGATTTCACTCCTTGCTTGAACTGTGCAATGTCAGCTGCAGGCAGGACATTTCCAATAGACACACCACCTACAAGAACCAGGAGGAGTTAGCCCAGAGTCTCTCAGTTCCACAAAACATTTTGATCCCCTCCAGTCTAGGTCTTCCAAAGCTGCCCCCTTCCTCAACCCACTGAGTGCTAACAAACCTGAGTGCACATTGTCAGCCTCTCCAAACAGGTCTGCAGAGCTAATGGCACTGCTGCCTGAGAGCTGCTGGAGTCGGGATCTGGCTTCATACTGCAGCAGAAAACAAAACAAAAAGGTTATATAGGAAAGGAACAAAGGACCTGAGCAAACAGGAGGAGGTAAAGCCAGAGCTTTACCAGTGTAAGCAGTGCAGAATGCATCTACCTCAGCATCTGCCTCCCGCCCGAAAAACATATCTGAAGAGATAGCTTTAGCCCCTGCAAACTTCTGCCGAGCTTCATTGGATTCCACCATGGATGGCCGGTTCTCAATTTCCCGCCTACTGGTGGGTCTGAGGAAACAAGAGGAGACATCTCAGATTAAGCTCACCAACACAGTAAAGAATCAAGACTTCTGTCTCAGACCTCATCTAATCAAAGGAAAGCAAGTTATTCTTAAGTGTTAATTGCACTGGGGCTCTCCTCTCCCCATCTGAGGACAGTCAGCACTCAATGACCACAAAGGCTGTATAAACTTACAGACATGACAGGCAAAGAAGTGTCCGAGGCCCTTTCGCTCAAGGCTCTTTTTCTTGGGCTTGTCTGTGCCTGTGCAAGTCATTTTCTGCAGCATGAGGCTCCAGCATCTATACCACAGCTCCCACACTTATTCTTTGTCCCCTACACAAGGGCACAAGATACACTAGCAGTGGCAAACACTTTACCTCTCTGAAACTGGCCGAATGCTGGAAACGGTCACCTCCGGTTCCTCCTCTTTGTCCATACCCCATGAAGAGTCCGCTTCCCATCGTGAGCCAAATGCATCTTCGAATGAGAAGGGACTGTATTTGTACCTAGGTACCAAAAATAGGCAGTTTACGCCAGACATAAAATTCAGGAATAAACAAAGACTATACTAAAGCTAAGTCTTACTTGGGGGGTCCAGATGTGAAGCTTCCACCATCTTCGAACAAGTCCAATTGGGAGCGGGAAGATTTTGCTACCAGCGGTGTCTCTTGCTCAATTACTTGCATCTCAGACATCACCGAGTGTGAAACAGAACTAGCACAACAAACAGGCAGAGTCAGGGCTGACGGGTCTGACGACATCCAGTCCCTACAACCAGTCTGCCTCAAAACTGAATCTGGCCTTCACAGGCAGGGCAGGTGACACAAGTTATGAGGGAGAGTTGGGGGATGTCAGCCCCCTTCACCACTTATTTATGCTCCCTCAGAAGTCTTGAGCTACCTTCTTAAAGGAAGGATTCTGCAGGGGGACACCTGTCAAGCAGCAGGACTCTAGTGCTAGACACTGACAGGCCACACATATCTGTCAAAAAGCTCAAATGAGAACCAGAACCTTTGAACAGAGTCCCTATTCCTTCTGGGGCCTGAAGCATTTTCAGTCAGAGAACAGCATATGAGCATTTTAACTCATCTCCTTATCTATTACAAGAGCTGACTACTGCCTTCAAGAAACTTTTCCAGAGCAGGGTACTTCTAAGACACTTGTCTATACTATGCCATCTACAGCCAAGTACCTTCTGGACACCAATCCCATGCCCAGCCTCTCTGCTTGTTCACGTTTCTTCCCTTCAAGGCTCTGGAGTTTCTTCTCTTCCTTCTTCCGATCAAGCTGCAGTTCCTGATAAGCCAGTCGCATTGAGGTGACTCTAAGGGAAAGAACCATGGTGGGTGCCAGCTCATTACCCTCTCTTGCTGCCCGTGTTGTAGAAGAACAAGTGATTAAGTAACCCCAACCATCCTTCAAAACAGCCACTTTCACAGCAGCTCTGCCAAAAATCCTTGCACAGAAGCTATTGCTTGTTTTGCCATCTCCTCCACTGCAATTCAAGTCGCTAACCATGATTTCCTTATTGTAAGCATCACAATGTCTATCTACTCCCCACGCCTGCACTCAGAATGATCGACCCACTTAAGCCTTTGGCTTTTTCAGCCCTGTCCAAAGGTGAACGGAAACACACAATACACAGAAGCTCCCTACGCTCTTCCAGGAATGCTAATTTGAATAAAATACAGCAGTATAACTTCTGCCCTGCTGCAAGGGCCATATTGGCATATAGCTACTGCTCTTCCTCTCATGCAATATGTTCTGAAGTCACATTTGGTGGTCCTAGGAAGAACAGCATTAACCTCACACTACTTCTGCCTTAGGTATGCAAGGTACTCATCCCAAAGAGGGCACTTACATGGACTCCTCAGCTTGTTTCCTGGACTCCACTGCCTGCTGCTCCCTCAGCTGTTCTGCCACCTGGGCTTGCCGCTCAATCTCACTGAAGCTCTGGCTGCTGACTTTCTGGGCTCCAAGACCTTTTTTTGCACCCAGCTTAAAAACAAGAACAAAATCCTATGAATTCTTCATCCTAGATTGTTTGTTGTAGAAGAAAATCTGAATCTACTTCTTGCCGCACCAATGAGGCTTTCAGTCTTCCTGTGTAGTCACAGCCTACAGACCTACAGAGTTTGCAACACAGTATGGAAGAACATCCAAGAGTTAACACATCAGTGGCCAACACTTAGAGATCAACCACGTATACTTCAAACCACAACCAATAATGATCCAGAACATAATTTTTTTTAGCAATAATATACAGGCTGCTTAAGGTCTCCTTTCCCCAAAGCAGATCTCTATAGCCTTGTTAAGCAGAAAGCAAGAATCAGGGAAAGGACAGCAGAAATGCAAGACATGCTTTACTTCCCCTCCATAAAAGAGCTCAGACATACCCCTTTCTTGGCAGCTCCCGGCTTCTTCTTTCCAATGAGGGAGGATTTAAGTTCTGCAAAAGGAGGGAACCAGCAAATAAGCAGAAGGGAATTAATTTAAGAGGCCAAAATTAGACAGCAACCCACAAGATCATCCACCACAGTCCAGCTGCAGTAGCGTCCAGGGCACACCATGCATCTTCACATCAGAAACCTGGGTGATTTCACCCAGGCGAGAAAGATGCACGTAGAAGCTCCACAGTTGCAGGCTGGTGGCCTAAAGAAGCACAACCATTTCTGGAGCAGCTATAATTGAATTAAGAACAGTGACTAACTCCTCTGAGTGTTATGCTGCAGGTATCAGGGTAGTTAGAGAAAGACTAGGTTTATCCCGTACACAAATTCAAGAAAATGCAGCTTCAGAGGCTCAGAGCCTCACCAATGCCTTAAGGGACAAAGCAGCAAGAACTCTGAAGTTGTGTTTACATGAACATACAAAAAAAATGGACCTGAAGTGCAGCAAGCTGTAAAAGCAACAGGTTCTCCGACACCTTGCACTTGTCACTCTTGAGGGCATGCCACACTCATAAAACCAGACAAAGGCCAGCCAAGCAGCAGATGTCTGGGGAAAAGTCTAAGAACAAAGCAGAGAGGAACTGCCCAACACATTTTCCAGCTTCCTATAGGTAAGTCCAAATCTTTTATTGCCCTTGTTGGGCTTTTATTTTGTGTGTGCATCTCCTGACTTTCTACAGCCACATGACTTTTGTTAGCCATAAATTATTCTTGACACGTTTTCTTTCATCTTTTCTAGTCTTATGATAAGTCTTTTTTAAAAAGGGGATTCAAAACATTCACACTATCTGAAACTGTTTTCCGCTCACTGTTCCTAACACTTAATTCAAGGTTGTTTGGGTTTATGTTTGGAGATTTTTATATTTCAGGAAACATTTAACAGAAATGTTAATACAGTCTCTACAGATACAATATATCTGGTTTAGCTCTCAATACAACAATATAAGCTTTGTCTTGTTCTCTCCCTCTAAGCACGGGAAGCTAAAGTTAGAATTGAAGGCAGAATCTCAGGAGGGGCAAGCAGAATTGTCACAAGCAGCCAGCGCAGGCCACCTGTTAGCCAGTTACCTCCAGCAGGAGCAGCCCCTTGTGTTGACAGATACATGGACACGTCTGAGGAAGAGATGTAAAACATGGGGAATGAAAAGACACTTGAGGACACAGTCTTTCCACCCAGAATGAACCCACTGTGGGCTAGGAGAACGCTCTCAATAAAGGAAGAAGCTCCAGCTAGATGTTCTGTGTGCAGCCAGGACCGTAATGGCAGGGGAGAATCAGATACAAATCCCTGTTATTCTGAAAATTAAAAATTAATTTGCCTCCAAAGGTTCTGTGGGGAAACAAACCAAAAACAACAGCCATGTGGCCTTGATCACCCATATTCTAGATATGCAAGTCCCAAGTTTTATCCAAAGCTCAAAACCAGGAAAAAATGCATTTGGGAAAGCAACGGCTTTAAACTTAATTATCCAAAACAAGGAGGAAACCTCCAGAAAACTGTGACTTGGTTTTGGGCTTGAGGAACATCCTAAGTACTGGCTCAACAGGGAAATAAGCTCGTTTAGACATTCTGGAAAACTGGCTCATTGCTTCCAGCTTCACTGAGCTTACTACTGAGCAGTGGGTATAAGAGCAAGACTGATCTGAAAGTGAAGAGTCTTACCTAGAGGAGCCTTAGGAGACGTGCTCAACAAGTCAATAGATGGACCTTGGGTGGGATCTGTGGGCACAAAACCAAAAAAGAACATTCATGATATTCTCAACCCTTTTCTTTCCAGTATGTTCACAGTTCCACTACATCTCTCCTAGCTCCTCTGCCCCCACAAATAAATCCAGTTACAGCTTGAAATATGCAATTTCCTAAGCAAAACAACTTTATTTCTCAACAGAGCAAATTATTCCTTCTGCACTGTTCCTAACACAGTACAAGAAAGCAAACATTCTGCAGGGAAATATATAAAGCTGTTTCAAATTACAGCTATGCCCCCAGGTTCTTGGTTTCCTTGTCCTTCACCCTAAAAATTTTTCTGTCCTACGTCATTTTCAGACCCACCAAATTCAAGGGATAGAGAAGGATGTTTAGACAAATAATGTCTGGGGCAGCTAATCCCCAAAACAGTTTTGTGTACATTTCAGAAAAAGTGAAGAACTGACCCCAAATGGAGCAGTGTTTTTAGAAGTTTCCACTAATTTTACTAAACATCATAAGAGTGTGAAGAACTTCCACTCCTTCAGGTCTGAACCAAAGGATAAGTTCAGCCCTTCCAACACTGGTACAGAACTGTATTCTCCTGGAAATGAAGGCAGGCTTTTGGAAAAACTATTCAGTAAAGAACTCACTTGAAACTTCGCTGCCTTCTGATGACTTTGCTGCTTTTTCCATCTCTGGAGAAGACTGTGCAGGATTCTGGGTGGCATCTGCTACATCCCAGGTACTGGAAGACTGCAAGGAGATACTCATTCTAGTTATTTTCAGAAGGTTAATGAACCAAACAATCCTGCATTTACTAGTGGTTTAGTGACCTGTATTCAATTTTAGGCCAAAGGAAACTTATTCCAAACTTCAGACTATGCCTTCCTTGAACATAACATATGGACAAGTCCACATTCGCTTAGCAGGGACAAAAATGACAAAAAAACCAAAAAGGAAGCTAAGATGAATGTAAGGCCAGGAGGAATGACAGAATCATTTGACAAGTTAATGTGAGGACTTCCCAGGTAAAAGGAAATGAGTTTAAATCTGGGAGAAAGTGTGAATGAGTTTTCCTGGAAAAAATTAATCTCCACTTCCACTGTCTCTATTTGCCATTACCTGAGAAAGTCTGCCTGGCATGGTGCAGTTGCCCAAATCCAGTTTACCAGGGTCTATGCACTGAAAAGTTTCTTCTAAAGCAGAAGTTAAAAGTAATAACTAGTCCTTGCTTTAACTGTACAAAGAAACTAAGCATTAACACAACACACAAAGCATCTTCCAGGGCATTGGTGGTAGCTTTGAGTTCTTGAAACTAAAGATGGTCTCAAAAACAAAGGACGTGGATATTACAGGGACTGTTCAGATCTTGACTATGTCCCAGGCAGATGACTCAGTCTGACTTCTTCCACATTACTACTGATTAATTATACAATTTAGAGTCCTTCCAAGCTAAGTTGGACTGCTCCTGGCTGAACAGCTGGCTATTGGAGAGCTTTTAAGGCTGCCTGGTTTAGGCAGCTCTTCTCACCTGTGTGTGCTCCATGAAGAAATCAGCATCACTCTTCTCAGGGGAGTGCCCAGGGGCTCCACTCAGTCCATCTATAAGCAACTGAAGAGAGGAGAGGGGAAAAAAGAAGGTATCCTGCAAGACTCAGCATCCAGCACTACCCATCTAGCACTGCAGAGCTCTCAGACTTACATCAGTGCCATACTTGGCCATAGCAGCACTTGCCAGCTGCCGGATCTTCTCCCTGTACATCTGGGCAGCTCGACTGTTATATTTAGCATTGGCATCTGTGGTGGTACAGCCGTGCTGGCGGAAGAAAGCAGTCTGAAAAGAGAGGAATATTCAGTCTCCTGACTGCTAGATCATACTCAAGCAAGCACTAGACAAACTCAACAGAAAAAGAAAACTTCCCAGAGACAGAGGATGAAAAACTGAGAACGCAGCATAAACCAACCATTCACTGATCAGCTTTCTACAAGAAGTCTCACTCCAGAGGCCTATGAAAATCATTTTCTCTACAGAGAGACGATTCCGAGTCACAAAGCTGAGCATGAGCTTTCAAACTAATCAGTGTTATTAACTTCTATCATTTAAGAAGGCTTTGCCTCTCATTTAAATGAGATGTAAAAAATGAGAGATCTGCACATCAGAAAACAAGGCATGCAAAGGTCACAGTCTGACTTCCAAACACCCTTGACAAATTCCCCCCTTCATTACACATTTCAGATCAGACTGGTACCAAAAAAGCCACACAAAGGAGACAAGAAGCAGAGGATGTGGATTAGCAAGAGGGAAAGCAAGCAAAATGCCTACAGAGGCTCCTCACCGCGTTGGCATTGCTGCCCACTTGCATACACCTCAGCTGGAACCAGTTCCAGTTAGAATCCAACTCTGTGGACCTGTGTGAGAACCAATTATTTCTATTAATAAAGACCAAGCAAACCAAATGCAAAACCAAGCTCTGGCATAAAATAGTGAGATATCCCACTACTATTCCAAAGCGTAGGAGGCAAAGGTGGAAAGAACATCTTGGGAATTTCTTTACTCCTCTAAAAAATTATTTTCAACTTTCAAAGTGAGGAAAAAGACCAGCTTTTATCCAAATTTTGAGGCTCTCTCCCTTGTACTGCTTGTTTAGATGGCAGGGCTTGAGCTAGGAAAGCACAGCCAAGAACTTTTGTTCTACATGTGATCTCACCACAACATGAGAGACTCATATTCAGCCTGTCCCACAGGTTGGGCCAAAACACGTGACAAAGCAACCGAGAATACATCCAAGTAAAGCTAAGGGACACAGAGTGTCTCATACTAGTTACTCAACTGCTCTCCTAACAAGTAAAGGTCACAGTTCTCTTAACTTAAAATTCTAATTTTTACAACTACTGAAAACAAGAAGTAGGCTAAAAAGCCAAGACCATCTTGCCCATTAGGCTGATACCAAAAAGATCAAACAATATTCCTCTTTTTGCCTTGCTCAGTGTTACGAAAAATTATGTACACCACGCTGCTACATTACTGGCAAGATTCACAGACCACACTCTCATCTTTTTTCCTACAATGCCAAGTCCAGATAGCGTTTCTGCAAGGTTAGTGAAAGCAACACGTCGACGTTCCGTCCGAGGTGCTTTGGAAGTGCTGAGTGACCCAGAACCTCCTGCGAACAAGCCTCATAAACGCCGAGGTGATCGCTCCGCGATCAGGCTTCTCTCCCAGTCCCTGCGTGCTCCCACCCCAGGCGGGATGGCTGCTGCGGGTCTGCCGGTGGCACCGCGGCCGCGCTCCCCACGCACCTGATGAAGCTGAGGTGCACGCCCAGGGACCTGTGGACGCCGGAGCAGTCGATGCACAGGAAGACCCCGTAGGTGATACTGGCCCAGCTCGGATTCTTGGCGCCGCAGTCGAAGCACGACTAAAGCGAAGGCAGAGGGACAGCCAGGTTGAAGCTCTGCCGCTCCGCCACCCCCTGCCACAACTCGGCGGCCCCGGTCGCTCTGCCCAGCCGCTCCCCAAGGGCCCCGGCCCGGCCGCCCCAACAGCCGCCGCAGCGCGGCCCGGAGCCCACCGGGGCCCAGTCGGAGCGCAGGCCGCGGCCACAGAGCAACAGCCCGGCACGGACAGCCCGGGGGACCCTGGCCGCTCCCCGCTACCTTGTTGGCCGGCGCTGCCCGAAGCCGCTTGAAGAGGGTCTGGATCTCCGTCTTGCTCGGCTCCACCGCCATGATCTCTCCTTCCCAGACACCCCCGCGGGGACGGCAGCCGGTCGGGCCCAATCCGCGCCGCGGCCGCGGGAGAGTCGTGCTGGGCCGGCCCCCGCCGCGTCTGTGGTTGTGAAGGGCGAGAAGAGAGCGATGTCCCTCCTTCCCTCCGGGCCCGGCATTAAACAGGGGCAGCGCTGGCTGCGGGTCACCCCGGCCTGCGCTGGCTGCGGGCCTGCACCGAGAGACGCGAGCTTGGGAATAGTCATGGGGCAGTGCCTGCCGTGGGTCATCTGCTACCGGGATAAAGCTCAGCAGCGTTTCAGACATCTCCTGTTCCAGCAGCCAGCCTCAGGGCACCGGGCCTGCTACACTGGCACAGACGAACGGTGATTTGTAAATGATGTACAGAACCACAGAATGTCCTGAGTTGGAAGGCATCCACACAGATCATAGAGTCCAACTCCTGGCCCTGCACAGGATATCCCTAAGAGTCACACCATATGCCTGAGAGCATAGTCATAACACTTCTTGAGCTCTGTCAAGCTTGTGCTGTGATCACTTCCCTGGGCAGCCTCTTCTGGTGCCCAGACACCCTCTGGGTGATGAACTCTTTTCTAATATCAAACCTAAATCTCTGCTGACAACTCTAGGCCTGACACTGGCCATTAAAGAGAAGTGATCAGTACCTACCCCTATGCCTCTCCTTGTGAGGGTATCGAAGATGATGGTGAGGTTCCCTGAGTTTCCTCAAGGCTGAAAGACAAGGTGACTTCATCCACACCTAGTATGGCTTCCCCTTCAGACTCTTCTCCATCTTCATAGCCCTGATTTAACCAGGGCTGAAGATGCTATTACTTGGCTATGCAGTAATCGAGGCATCATGAGGCAGTAATCAAGGTAGGGAAGTTGTTACTTCAGAGCAAAAATGATGTAATGGCCGTTATTACTGCTGTTTTATCTGCCTAGAAATAGTAGAGTATTGGCTAGAAAGTCATTCAGTTGTAATGGAAGAAAAATAGAAAAATATGGTTGTGCTGTGAACTAGAAGTCAATGGCATATAGTCCACTTCATTCTTCAGGAAAAAAAAAAAAAAAGAGTAAAAAAAGTGACTGCAGAGCAATGAGAGGTTCAGAAGAATGAGAACAACAAAAGTTAATCAGCACCATGGTACTGATTATTTCTATTAATAAAGATTAATTTATAATAATAAATATTATTTCTATTAATAAAATTCCAGAGATGGAATGCATTGGGATTTCCTTACCTCTGAAAAGAGATTGCTCTGCAACACCATCTTGTCACTAAAAGAAACTTAAATGTACTAATATCTGGACAAGGCAACTTTCAGTTTAGTTTTAAAGGCTTTTTTCACTCATTTCCACAGATGTTAAGGTAGACAATAGGAGGGTTTAGATTTAGCAGGGTTTTGTGTTCTGGGAATCAGCAAAGCTCCGACTGTATGATCACATTGAGGCCTGATATGGTAGACACATGCAGTAAGATGAGAGGCTTCTGGCTGACATCTGATTGAAACTGCTCTGAGATGAGTTTCTGAGCTGGGTAGTGAAGTCTGATCTAGCCTGACAGAGCTCATTCTTGGCAGCAGTCTTGTCTTCAGTATACCCTGGTTTCAGTTGCTTTTATTCTACTACCTTAATGGTGCCTATATGCCATTTCTAGGATTACACACACATGTGCTGGGGAAGCAATGCAGGTAAAAGTAACTGATAGCATTTTTCTCACAGCTATTTTTAAACAAGTTGAGTTCCCTGATGCCATTCATGGTGCAGCTGTCCTGGCAGTCATACTAGGAGAGCTGATGTCAGGGTGCAGTAAGGGCTGGCCACACACTAGGACAGGGAGAGCTGTGAGGGGCTGTTCCTGAGGCCAGCAGCCTCATGGGGCATGGCCCATTCCCACAGTACCTGACCACAGAGAGCCTGGCAGGCCTGGCATAGCGTCTGATATCCAATTCTTGGATTTCACCAAGAATTGAGATAGCTGGACAAGTTCATGGTGATGAGTAACTTGCAGTCAAACTGGGTCAGGATCAGGCCCAGTGACTGCCAGGTGCATCTGTGGTGATAAGGCAAGGCAAGCCTGAGGTCAGGCCAGTAAACCAGCCTACAGGTTAAGATCAACAAAGCACAGCCAGAAACTACTGCTCCTCTAACATAGCTCAGACAGGGCCTAGGAACTCTGGGCTGAGCTTAAATGCAAAGACACCCTCCCCAAACGCCATGGGCAGGGGCTTTGGGCAGAGCCACAGGTCAGGCTGCTCTGGACAGTGAAGGTCTGTTAGTGCATTCAGGGCCCTGACAGGTGAAGCTACAGAAGGGCAGGAGAGGGAGTCTCTGGTGCCAGGTTGTGTAAGCTGCATCTTGTGTAGAGGAGGAAGTTCAGATGATGAGAGTGCATTGGGAGTGTTTGTGTTTATGTTGGCTGGAGCTGCCTCAACCTGAGTTGCTTGCTCCTGACCTGTCATCATAAGTTATGTGGTGCTGCTCCCCTTCTCTGCGTGTTTCTTTCTTGTGTTTGGGATGGGATGGGCATCAGTCAGCAGGTGGTAAGCAATTGTATTGTGCATCACTTGTTTTTCTTGGATTGAATTCCTTTTTTCCTATTATTATTAGTATTATATTTTACTTTGTTTCATTTCTTAAACTGTTCTTATCTCCACCCACCAATTTTATCTTTTTCCAATTCTCTTCCCCATCCCAATGGGTGGTGTGGGGTGGGTGGAGTGAGCTGTGTGATGTTTGGATTAAATAATGTGATGCAGGGGGTAAATCATGACAGAGAGAAATGGCACATGCTCAGGAGGAGCCAAGGCAGCCTCAGAGGCCAGTAGGTCAGTGTCACACTTTGTTTCTGCTGGTCTGTGCTAGGAGACATGGGGAGTGCAAGCTCCTCTCCTCCATGGAGTAAGCACCGTTTCTGTTCACTGCATTGTGTCCTCAGAATGCTTGCTACAGCAGGGTTGCTTCAGCTTCTCTTCCTCAGCAGGTCTCTTGCAGGCCTTCAAACCCATGCTGGTTGCTCCAGATCCTGGCAAGGCTGTTGATCCTGTCCATCAGTTTTGCATAAAAGCAGCAGGGAGAGCATGCTGCTAGTCTGAGAAATAATCAGTTTCTTTTTGTTGCCTGTGTCAGTACAGGAAAGACCTCCTGCTGCTGACTGTTCCCTGTGAATGAGTGCTGTCACTGCACTGTTCTTGCTATTTCCTGCATCTGTTTCTTTTGCATCTCATGTGCTTTAGTGCTGAATTTCTGAGCTCTAAGCTGGCAGCCTGCTCTTTGGCTCTCAGCTTCCCTATCCATCTACATCCTAACTGACATCTTTCCTCCTGACTGCTGTGACACCAGACCCTGATGTAGCCTTCTAATCAGAGATTACCTTCTGTTATCCACCTCTGCCAGTAGATAGTTCCCAGCATTATCCAAGAGAGCAAAGGAAAGCAAAGGATGATGACCAGCCATGATCTTGGGAGTCTGCCATACCACCAGGGACACATTTTCAAAGCAGAGGTCTGGTTATCTGAGGGCATGAGGTTACTGTGAAAGAGCTGAAGAGATTCAGGAGGGAAGTGCTGTGACGGGGATAAAACATGCCCTGCACTTTCAGGCCTGAGCCAAATGTAAGAAGTGTTTCTCTGCAAGTCTGTCCAAAAGCAGGGTGGTAGAGGGAAAAAGGGACCTTACTCTTTTCTCACTGCCCAGCAAAGAACATGGGTGATAGGACTATGCAGGAGAGACACGAGGTGGCTGAGTCTTCCTCTCCTGTTCAGACCCATTGGCCCCTCACACTTTTGCTGAATGAGGAGTTTTAGGAATGGGGCTGGCAAATTCAGTAAACTACCCAAAAAGAAACAGTGAGATGTAGATTCCTATAGTTCACAATGTTGGGTGGTGGGGTACCAGAAATCTACAATGATGGCTTAGGCAAAAGAAGCAATTCCTAACCCAAATATTTTTAAGTTTTTTTTTTTCCTCCTCTCTTACTAAGCAGTTCACAGACACTAACTAAGCCACATGATTTCCCCTGGGGATAGCCACTAACTCTGGGAGAAATCTCTGCTCAGTATTTCCAGGCAGCTTGTCTATTTTCAGTAGTGGAAGGACAAAACACAGCCACAAATGGAGGAGAGGAAAATCAAGTAGAAAGCATTCTCCTTCTCACTACAACAAGGGACAGGTTCTCAGGAGGTATGCTCCTTCCCAGATGAAAGGGACAATGTGTAAGAGGGTGCTCTAATTATCTATGGTTTCAGGGATCATATGGAAAACTTTTCCTTGGGTTAGGTTAGGTTTCTGTCACGTCAGCAAAGTGCCCTGCCATGTATTTACTTGGATTGATGCAAGGGAAGCAGCTGGCTGAGGGTTGTGGCTGACCAGGCTGCCAGTGTGCTGGACTGGGTGTAATTAGTAGCTGCCTCCCTAGGAGAAAGTATAACACCAAGGCAGGGAGTCATGTCACTCACTGGCTCCATGCAATGCTTCCAGCAAGATCTAAGATAAGAAGCTATTACAGTATGTGTAGAGTGAATAAAGTTTACAATTTATACAATTTTACTGCAGTCTTGCAAATGTTGCGGTTTGGAGAAATGCCAGCAAATGTTGAAGGAACACATACTTTAAGGAACACAACAGACAGGTAACTTGAGAGATATTGAGGAGTGCAGTCATGGATGGTTTGCTCTGATTTGAGATTGTGATGCAGCCAAAAGGTTGGTTCTGCTGCATGTGCTGTCCCTTGCACCCACTCTGGGAAGTGGCAACTGTGGGCTGAGTTGATATACCGAGCCCTGCTCAAACAGCGATTGTCATTGCATTGCTGAGCTCATCTTGGGCTTGTGCAAGTGCTGCATAAGTAAGGCAAGGGCTAGAAGTCTTGGAAGGGAGAAGAGAGGACTGTTCCTTTCAGCTGTGCCAGACAGCGTTGCTGGGCTGCCAGACAAAACTGCTGTGGTTTGATGGAAAGAGTGACAGAAGTGTAGAGCCAGGGCAGGAGTGTGCTGCTCCTGAGTAGTTGTTAAGTGAATGTTTGGGTGTATATACATGTGTTTCTTCAGGCTTTTGTTACTCTATTTCCAAAATTACAATTAAATATTGATTTACAGATGTCTGGTAATATCACCTCTGGCCTGGCAGGTGCTTTGGACCTGGGA